CACACACACACACACACACACCCCGGGTGAAACACGAGGGAGTGCAATGGAGCAGCAAGGGGAGCAAAGCAACGAAGTTCCCAAGGAATCCCAAAAATAGACTTCAGACTCAGAGGGCAGGGCTTGGCACCTCATCAAACTCAACTGGAAAACATTCCTAAGGGTCAGCAGACAGACCTGAAACTATTTATAGGCCCTTTTTAAATTCTTCTTCATTTTTTTTCCCCCATGCCAATCTGTGTAAGATAGGCAAGATAAACAATCCAGAGGAGAAAACAATGGACCAACGGTTCTGGCGGGGAGTGGGAGGGACAAAGAGGAGAGGGGTAGATGGGGGAAAAGGAAGGGGAAGCCAACAAACCCAGGGACAAAGGAACAACAAGAGATCTAAAATCAATGGCAAGGAGGGTGTAGAATGCTTGGTGGGGTTGAATCAAATGCAATGTAGCTGAGAGGAATTACCGAAAGCCAAGTGAAGGTCAAACATGCGCATGAGACAGGTGGAAAGTAAAAGGAAATAGAGGAAAGAACTAGAAGACATTTATAGAGGTATAAATATGGGCATGCACATATGTAAATATATTAATCTATAAGGACAGGGATACAGGTCTATGTACATACATTTATATGTTAAGTATTAAGGAAGCAAATGGACATCGGGCCTCTACTCAAGTACTCCCTCAATGCAAGAACACTGTTCTAATAATCTGACATTCTGTGATGCACATCTTCCCAACACGATTGACAAAAACAAGATGACTGAATAAGTAAATGTGGTGAAGAAAGCTGGTGGTGCCTGGCTATTAAAAGATATAGCATATGGTGTCTTAGAAGCTTGACGTTTAACAAGCAGCCATCTAGCAGGGAAGCAAGAAAGCCCACATAGGAGAAGCACACCAGGAGTAGGTATTAGGCATCTGAAGTCCCAAAGCAATCATATCAATGAGAATGAGTGGGGTCAGACTGGAGACCCAAAGCCCATCTGTAGACAATTGGACATCCCCTCACAGAAGGGTCACAAAGAAGGGACAAGCCAGTCAAGATGCAATATAACACCTAAGAAACACACAACTTTCTTCTAGTTCTTTAATGCTTCCTCTTCTAGTTCTTTAATGCTTCCACCCCCACTATCATGACCCCAGTCCTACCTTACAAATCTGGCTAGACCAGAGCATTTACACTGGTACAGGTAGAGCTCTCAACACACAGAATCCATGACAGCTAACCGCCCCAGAAACAGTAATGAGAATATTGATATCGTGAGGGCAGGAGGAAGGTTGGGGGAGGAGAGGGAGAAAGGGGAAACAGATCGCAAGGATCGACGTTTGTCCCAGGGGGACAAACAACAGAAACGTGGGTGAAGGGAGACAGCAGACTGTGTAAGATATGAAAACAATAATAATTTATAACTTATCAAGGGT